ACCGCTTGGCGGGACTCGACTTTCCGGTGCACGATGGCAGCGAATAGGGCCGCGGCAGACGCCGGTCGACGGCGCTGCGGAGCACCGACTCGCTGTCGCTTCTGGCGCTGCTGGCCCGCGAGACGAGGTCGCCGGTGTTGCCGAGCCCCAGCGCCGGCGCCGGCGCCGGTGTCGGCGCCGAAGCCTGGCCCGGCGTAGGCGCGGCCACCGACTTGAACCCGGACTCTGGCTCGGGCTCGGACTCGGTCTCGGACTCGGACTCGGGCACGGACCCGGACGCGGAGGCGGAGGCGGATGAAGAGGCGGAGACGGAGACGGAGGCGGAGTCCGCGTCGGAGTCGGAGTCGGACTCAGAGCCGGCCACGCAGCCGAGCTCCCGGCCCCTCCGGGGCAGGATGGAGTAGCCGGCCGGGCTCGCCGGACTCGGCTCCTCTCCACACGGCTCGGGGTTGACGATCTTCACCACGAGCCGGTCTCGGCCCGGCGGCAGACTGACGCTCAGGCAGCTCGGCGTTCGGTTGGCCGTGATCTCGTCCAGGCTGACGACCGCCTCTTTGGCGCCCGACTTGTCGGAGAGACTCGAGGAGGCCGGGCCCATGGGCGCCGTGGCGTCGTCTCGGAGACTGGGCGTCAGAAATCGCGTCAGCGTTATCGACGAGGCCTCTGTCTTCTCGAGGTACAGCGAGCTGGCCGCCGTCTTCAGCAGCTCGCAGAGGCGCGTGTCCGGCTTTGGGCCGTGCCTCTGGTTGGACGGCGTCCAACCGCGACCGTGACAGCTGAAAACCGTGCCCATGGAGGGGGACAGGAGGTAAGGACTCGAACTGAATGCCACTGCTGAGGCCGCTTTTCGCGCGGCACCGAGGCCGTGCAAACGATCGATCGCGATTCGAATGAAACCCCTCATTCTGCTCCGTCCACGGGGCAGCTCATCCGGCCACCGAGCCTCGCTCCGCACGAACAGCCGAGATGGGCGACAAGCCGACCGAGACGGCCAATTGTGACCGGAAAGGATGATCGCATTGAAGATGTTTTTTCACTTGTCCGGAAGAAATGAGGCACGATTTGGCGTCATATTCGACGACGAATTTGGTGAATGTAAGCTATGCTGGACCGTTAATTGTCATTTTATATTGTTTATGAGACAATGGAAAATGTATGCGGAATGAAATTCCCAACGTCAGCTTTCGTCACGGGAATAGGAAGTTGCAAGAATAGTAGCAAATTTACTGACTCTCATCCAATGTAATGCCATTAAATGCGAAAACAAGCCCAATAATTTCACCCATTCAAAGGTGGTATTTATCCTAATTAAGGGCATTTGACATAATAGCTACCATAATTCCCAGCATCAGACCGTGGACTTGGTACATTCTCAGACGTTTCGCCGGCATCGTAGTCAGCATCATCCGTGAATTTGGCCAAATTACAAACTCGTCGAAGAGACAAGTGCAGCCAATCTCTGTAGCTTGTTGCGGAGAACGGCAAGATTCACTGAAGATGCTGACTATGATGCCGGCAAAATCGTCTAAGAATGTACCAAGTCCACGGTCTGATGCTGGGACTTATGGTAACTACTATGACAGAGGACTTCAGACAAGGCGCGTTCAGCTAAGTCGCCGTGACAACAAGACCAAGTTGCGAAAACGAGGTCAATCCACTTCCATAAATCTGAAGAGGGCTGATACCATACCAAGAATCACATTAGCTTGTTCTTGCTGTCTTCCATCTATCAGTTGAAAAACGACCCAGAAAGATATGAGAATGCAAATTGCTATCAGTTGCTCGGCTAGTTAAGTATGAATGCGAATCCAACGCTCAACTAAAAATCTTCTGGATATTAAGAGAAACTCCAATTAGCAAACTGACTTATTTATAAGTAGGTTTTAGAAACTACCAGTAGATCATATACATGAGATATATTTTATTCATTTTGTCTAAGATGCCGAAGGACAAAAAGTTAAATTGTTTCCCACAATTATATGAGTAGGCCTTACTTTTCCACTTAATTTCCCGTAGCCTTGTTTCCCAAAAAGTATTCTAATCTAGGGTGGATTGCAGTTTTGACCTATCCAGAAGTTCAATATAATTGTGTGAAACTTCAACTACCAGTCCTTAAAGGAAATAAGCTGAATACATCCCATATATTTCTGATCTACTGATCGGCTAGAGCAGTGATTCCCAAACTGTGCCCCGCGAAATGTTGTAAAAGCTTTAATTTGAGAAAATGTGCAGTGATTTGCAGGGTCATCCATCGCATTAATTATTAAATATTAATTTAATGTTAATAAAGTATTTTTTTAAATAATGAAGATATACGAATTTTATTTATTTTTATCTCTTCCTTACGAATAGTCACACTTAGGGTAGGGCGCGATGAAAAAATTTTTATTGAAAAAGGGCGCCGCAACTAGGAAAAGTTTTGGGAACTACTTGTCTAGTGGTACATACGTTTAAGCGATTGCTATAGCAAATACAACTTTTCCTCATCGGCAATACCACCACAGAATGTCACATGGGGGGGAGATTAAACACTGCACTACAACAACTCGGATTCGAGTCCCGCTGGAGGTGCTGATGAGGCGCCAAGGCAAGGTCGAAACTGCAGCCCACTCCAGCCTGACAGAGAATACCTTTCGGGAGGCTAGTTTGTGTGAAATGCATCGGAAACGGGACGCCTACTGCCTGTCTTCATCTACTTACATCAAATTGGATTAATACAGCATTCATAATCCTTCTCTTCGATTCACAATGGGTTGGCTGTCCTCGGGCCACCGTTCAGCAAATAGAATAGGTATGCCCTGAACTCAAGTCCACCCAGGCCATGATGAAATTATTGTACACTGTGGTACACTTTTCGCAACCTTTTGCGTATGTATAAGCATTTAAGCTGGCATTATGACCTCCCGAAATATATGAGTCATTTTAAGCCTATGAAATGAGTCGCCCATCATTAAAGCATTTGCTTTGTTCGTGCAACGCGATCGTAGCAGGTAGGAAAATAATGGTGTGACTTCAGGTCTGCTCTTAGTCCTCTTTAGCAATATCGGGCTGATGTGGCCCTGTTTTCGCAAGTTGGTAGGGGCGAAAGAGGAACCCTGTTGATTGTACACACTTCTGAGTCACCTGACATATTAGCCATAACAATTTCCTGCATCTAACGCTTGCTTCTGTACTTGTCACTTTGAATGGCGCAACTCGCTGACGATGCTGATTACGATTGCTTTGAAGCGGTAAATGGTCCAATGCTCTACTACTATTTCTTAAGAAGCAGGATTGGGTATGTTCCACAAGTTCACTCCTTCGTCCTGACTGAATTTTTATAAGTGATTTTATGCCTACTTTATTCGTGCAAGCATTTATCAGAGAAAACAAGCTTTGCGATTTCCAGTTTTCTTATTTCTGATACGCATCTTAACGTGAATATTAGCAAAAAAGTTAAATTCCCCAAATTTGCAAGCAAAAAAGCCGGCCTTTTAAACTAGAGCCATTCAATCTATTTATATCGGTTTGTTTGAATAACAAAATATTGGAAAAGCCTCGCAAAAATATTTGTGCTCGTACAAATCTACGTATTTGTACCTAATTCGTGAAAAAGAAGCTGGATCGATTAAAAATAAAAATATTTTTGAGGTTGTTTGACCTTGTTTTCGCCACTTGGTTATATTGGTAGGAAGACTTGGAGGAACGCACCTACGGGGCAAGAGGGAGACTCTGATAGGACCCAGGGAAGAAGGACTACGTAACAATATGGCAGACTTTGACCAACATTCCCAACACAAGGGTGAAGGGGTTGATTACGACAGCGTGGAGTGTGAAGGGTTTTTATGAATGCCGCTCAAAGGAGCATACCACACGACATCGAAATAGGCACGGTAAAAAATTGTGACAGGGAAGATGTGATAGGAGGATATAGGAAATGTGAATAGCCCATGGCAGAAGGGGAGATACCCCAACTGTTTAGCATACATTTGGTCAAAGGATAGGCTTATTTGTCTCTTTGACGAGTTGTTGTATGGTGCTAAGGATGGCGAAACTCACTGATGATGCTGACTATGTTGCCAGCGAAACGTTTGGGAATGTACCGCGTCCAGGGTTCGACTTTGGAAAGTATTATGCATACAATGGACTCTGGACTAGGTGAGTTCCTCTAAGTCTTCCTACCAATATGACCGAATTGCAAAAACAAGGTAAAACAAAATCTATACAACGAAAGGAGACTGAGACCACACAAAAGGCCACACCATCTTGGTCTTCATACTTCCGATTAAAAATATTATGATCTTAAGGCAAATTACGAGTGTGGGTGAATAGCTATAGTATGTTTGTCACCGGACTTTAAACGATGCATATGTTTAGTTCCATTTAATCTGTTATTCGTCTTGGTCGCCCACTTGATAGTCCTATTCAGAGTAAATTAATGTTCTAAATTCTGTCATGATAAAGTTTATTTTATTGGTCGGAGATTTAATGGGCATAATGGCAATTGGCTTTTGGGCGACACTTGCATGTTTGCGAAGAAGGTTGCGTGAACTGTTGGGTCGACATATTATTGGCATATACATTGGCATATTGGCATATACCATTAGACATTATTACACAACCTCGTAGGCCAATTCTAGCTAAAGTGATATATAGGCTTCTATAACGAGATTATACAACTGGCTTTTATGTATAGACGATAAATTCTTGCATGCATATATTGGACGCTCATTTGCCTATCCGTTGAACCAATAAATGAATCTGTATGCCAGGCGATTCCTCCTATCTACCCTTCCTTATTTCATGTGACGAGCATGCAAAATTCTTGATATATTTTTTGCACTTCTTTCCTCAGGTCATGCTTTCAACCCAGTTCAATCAGTTCTCTTCGTTGTTATATGTAGGCGGCATCACTAGAATCTGTAACATTGCCTAAGTTATTCCTTTTAGGAACCACAGAGAATATTCTGGCTAACTAAATGAAGAAGAATTCAGCGCAAAATTATTGATAAGTGTATTCAAAAACTTGTCGGTGCCTCAAGTAAGCATGATTTATGGAATACTAACAGGGCATCTTCAAATAATACTGTTATCAGAATGCTCAAAAGCAATAATGCGAAAAGATTTTTGTTTCACATTAATAATATGAAAAATATCTTGTGGCTGGCTTTTATCTGGTGTACACTAGGCATTTGCCAGAAGACTCGAGATTCTTCCACACCTTGAGATACTGATTTATTACTTAACCTGTTGTCTACAGCTTCTTCCTTCCTATGCCCGTTTCACCTAGACTATGCCGAAGGCTCTTGCCTTAATTTCATTGGCTTAGCTCTATGCATTTGCAGTGCTTCCGAGCAAACATTATTTGCCCAGTCAACAGGGATGCTAATGTCATACTTTCGCATTAAAAGGCTCAATAGGAATCTAGAGAATTTCGTCAAAGAATATTTGTGCACAAATGGCTAATTGGTATTTTAGACAATACGACCCACTTAGTTTGCCAGTGATGAATAGAAGAGAGCGGGTTATCCCCAGTGGACTATCAGCGTACTTATTTTCCGAAACATAAGCTTACCGCCAGTCTGGATTGCCGTTTTAGCAGACCTGAGGCTCAAACACCGACCCCGATGGGAATCGAGTATTAAGCATAAATAAGCATCACCTGCGCAAAGACGAACGCAGGCCGGAAAATTCTTTTTTGTATTGTATTCAGCTTCATAGAATCATAATGAAATTAAACATACAAGCAACAAAATGGTCAAAAATACACCAACTTGAGCCTGCAGTTGCTGCAAGTATACATTTTAGCAGAGTTGGCAGTTGTGCTCTAAAATGTTTCTTGGCATTTTCGTCTTTTCACAGCTATACGGGAAAGGGCCACTTGAGTGGTATCAGAATCCAATGTGCTTCAAGTTTCTTAAAGAG